GAGAGGAGAAGAAGTGAGCTAGGGTTTACTGTAGTGTCAAAACAACCACAGTACAAAATTTCGGTATTTCAGGGATTCCGTAAGAATTTTTGAGTTTTTTTCCCAAGGAATCATGAACTCCATCGCCTCTTACCATTCCCCACTCATCCAAATACGTTCTCGGGTCACAAATACCACCCTCTCTTCCCATACTCTGCGACAAATTATTGACGCTGCAAGACCGTAACCATGAGCGCTTCAGCAAAATTTTGGCGTTTGCCCAAATTCTGAGCTAAAAAGCTTTTAATTAGTTAGGTTTTTTGGCTGTTATTTTGAATCGCTTGGACACAATCATTCAATTTTTAATCAACACTAAATATGGTGGTAGTGGTGTCCAGACTGACAACTGCGATTCAGAACAGAAGGGAACGGAACGTTCTCCCTAGCATCCTTTTTAGCGTTTTAATGTTCGCCTTATTGATCTTTTTTGCTTGTGTGAATTATTTAAATTGTGTTTGCAATGCAATTTTTGGATGTTTTGGATGTTTAGAGATATGTAAGTGTCGTTCACCACAAACCCATCCCCATCCACCGATTGCGGACTGGCCGAGTCGTCGCGATGGCTGAGACCACCCGTCATGGCTTTTTCCTTCTCCTGTCGTTTGCACTTGTACCGATGATTTTGGAACCAGATTTTCACCTATAATGGAAAATTAGTAAGCTACTATTAAGTGGGACAAGATGTGGTAAGATATGGGTAGCTTGGAATTTTTTTGCATAGCTATTGGTCCAGGCTCAAATATGACCCCATGCAGCTCTAATGGTAAGGAGACATACTTTTTGCTAACACCGGACCCCCGATAGAACCCGCTCACCTCTACAGTAATCCATAAGGCTTCATCATAGGTTTCGCTCTGATAAATGACAGGATGACCCTTTTGGGTGATCAATTCAATTAAGATGCTCCACGTACTACTAGAAGCTCACTCTGGTATTTGACATGGAGGATGTGGATTGCCTGGGTTTGTCCTTTTATAAAACTGTGTTTTTGTACCTCCGTACCTCCTTGGTATCAGTTAGTGGACCTTTGAAGGTTGGAATCCTTGGTGTGCTGAGCGGGACTCGAACTGAACTCGAACATGGCCCAAATGTCCACTACACTTTCTCCACCGCTTTTTGTCCTCACCATACTTAGTGAAATTGGGGCCAAACGGATAAAGATTGTCCTTTTCTTCAGACGGTGAGGTGACGTTCTATGACGGTGTGACCCTCTGATGACATGAATATTTGCAAAAGAAAGAACGTAAACCAGTGTTCAGCTCACGGATTACTGTAATTAGTGTGCTCATTCCAGAAAATAGCGGAGAGCCAGTCATTACAAATACCATTTACAGGACTCTCCATATTTATTTGGTTAACAGCAACCCAGGAAAAATTTCACACGCGCTTTCCAACTAATTTTGCTTATTTACAGTTTAACCAATCACTTGCGCCGGTTACTCTACCGTAACCAACCGTGCTTGGCAATGAAAGAGCTGTGAATCATTGGCTAGTCACCTCAACTGTCGATCGCTGACAGCTGAAGAATCGCTACTTTCCCGTAAATATCCAGATATTTAGCCGTTTTTTGCCCCATGCTCTCCAATGCTGGTAGTGTGTTTGTGACTCCGCTCCCCAAGTTTTTCCAATAAGTAAACCTAAATGTGGGAAAATCAACAAAGCAATCTAACGTGTTCCATGTATTTCAACCCTCCCGTTGCACGTAGAAACTGTTCGAGGTCGAGAAAACGACTACCGTACCTGAGTCGGGGTAAGATGAATTGAGTTCGCCAATTGTTCTCGTTCTGGTGCGGTCAAATATTTAGCCTGCTTGAAACGACGTTCAAGCTCATACACCTGCAAACAGAGATTCACGAAATCAACGTTATCGTGCGTGTTATATATTTTAAACAGACCTGAGACCTGACTGAAATAGAACCCGTCGTTTTACGCCGTTGAAGACATCGGAAGTTGAATTCATGTCCCCAGGCTCTGGAAGGGTCGATGCCACACGGTAGCACTGAAATTCTCACCAGTTGAACGCCTCTAGCCTGAAGGATGTCTCAAGATTCTGAAACTCACATGCAGCAAACCGTGGATCCCCACCACCGTACCATCCCGGGTTCGTCATATAGCTGCAAAGATATCTCATTAATCGTCGTTATCGCCAAAGTAGTCATGATGAAAGTAGCAGTGGAACCTCGTGAAGTCGCCTTGATACCCTTGAAATGGTGCTGCACCAAAGTAGGAAGTGGGCAAGGTGCCAGCTGGACGGTAGCCAAACGCCAACGAGTGCTCATTCAAAGGCGAGGATGTCATTTTAAGAAGATGCTGTTGAACTCGAGCTGAAAGTAAGGTGATAGATGGCGAAATTTTTTGAGCTATAGAGAAGCATTTAGTTGCCAAAGTTCAAAACGGCTAGGCATAGTAGCGCAGTCGGACATGGAGAAGGCGAAAGTGCTACGGTTGCCCCTTGAATCCCTTGAATGTTCTATATACTCCTACAAGAAGCGCAACTGCTAAAGCAAAATAAGTTTTCAGTCATTATGAGATGATGGCCTTAAGTTTCGAGCGTTCTTGTGGTTAGTGAGTGTTCGCAGTCGTCGAGAAAATCGCCTGGTGCGACGGTGAACCAAAATGTCAATGTCAAGGAGATTTTGGCCGTATGCCCCCCCCCGCCACTTCCACCACGCACTATCTCGCCAAGACTCTTTCACAGCAGAACAGCGAATTCGCCTTTTACCCGGCCTTCCCGCACTCATACCCCCCACTCATAAGGGATGTAATCCTTCGACCTGCTTTGTTGGAAAGAACGTCGAATACATCGCTTGTACTGATACCATCCCCTCTTACTCTATCAAACACGACCTATTGTTAAAGAATCCTTCGCTGCGGTTCCATTTGGTCGGAAAAAACCCCGTCGACTATCGAATTTCAAGCTGTCTGCTAAAGGCTACTTGTAGCCGTCAGTGCTGCAGATAACCCCTCCTCAATAAACAGACGACAGATTTCATATGGTCTCTCATTGTCTGAAGGTCCTAAAAATTCAAGTGAACCCCCTCTAGCGAAAACTTCCCTTCGCAACACAGCTTTGTTCGACTCGAGGTAGCAGAAACTCCCAAGACTTCGAACAGGGTCTACCTGGCCCTAATAGAAGGGCGAATCTGAACTCCATAGATGCGCTAGGCGGGATAAAAGTTACTTCAACCTGCTTACTCAGAAACGAGCACCAAGCTGTAAGTCGCTGGATAATAAAGGACTCAAGTTCTGAAATTCCAAAGCCAAGCAATAAGAGGAGAATCGAGAGCATTCAGCTATCGATTGAAACTCGTGCCTCAACAAAATATGGAACAAGTCTGCAAAAAAAACCTTCCGATTTGATTAAGATGTGAATAATTGGCCTTGGACATAATTAGTACTGGTTTGAGAAAGGTAGGTAAAAGTTTTCCTTTCCCGAAATATTTCAAAGAGCTCTGGAAGTTGTCTTAATTACTCTAATTACCTTGAGGTTTAATACCTTGGGAACCCATTGTGTCCCATGTCTCCCAGTAGTGGGACACTTTGTGAAGACGAACGTTGGGGGAGGGCTACAGGAGAGCATCTCTTCACGGGTTCGACCCTAGCCCTCCACACGTTAAGGGTACTACAGAAGAGGAGTCTCAAAGTGAGAAGAGTGGGAGCGAGTGGTGTGATAAGTTGATGCGGCGGCGGTAGTGGCCGAAGTCGTGGAGTGAGCTCTGAGAAGTCTGTGAGGAGGTGCCCGATGAGGTCTGAGAGGACGCCGGCTCCGTGGGCTGCAGCTCTTGAGGACGTCTATTAGGGTCTGAATATGGAGGCCATAGGACGGCTTCTCCCATGAAAAGCCGCTCGACGAACCACTTCAAACGTCTTTGCGCGATTGCACAGCCACGCACAAGTGGGAACTCAACGACGTGCAAGCGCTTTCGTGACGAGCAGACCTCATCGGCACGGCCGGCATACGGTAATGTTGAATGGAGTTTACGAAGAATAAGGCATGATGATTAATCAAGTTAATATGTTATAGTAAACACAGTTCTCCTCTTTGAGGTACAGTAACCATGTCAAACTATTGCTTCAAATTGCTATTTTCTCTTGACTATAATTTATTCAGATTCTGATTTGTTGAGGAAAGCTGTCGCTGACTTTTGAAAGGTGACCGAACAATTTTTGCTCTCTCCTGACTAACAGCGAGTTTTAGCGCGTAATATAGCGCGAAACCGCTCACTGCTGCGTCTCCTCGGCGGCCAGGTTGAGCACCGCCTCGCCATGAATACTGGTGGTAGATGCTAGTAGCAGTTTCTGCTGGTCTTTTGAGGTTTGATACCTCGGGTTATACACACTTCCTCTGTGTACTGTCAGCCACATAGCGTAACCAGTCGCCAACACTTGAGTCACGATTTCAGGTGCCAGCCCTGTACAATTTAGTCCTGCTGGAACTGGAGTATTTTGTGTTGCCTTCATGTTACTGCGGCTTGAAGTGTTTTATTTGAGGTCTGTGAATGTCTCCGAGTCATCAGGAATCACGCCTTGGAGCTAATGCTCACTG